AAAGTTTTATGTTTTTTTTTTCCTTTTTTTTTTTTTTTTTTTTTTTTTTTTTTTTAAAGAAAAATCGATTAAAAAAAAATGTTGAATCCCAATCTTAAATGCCCCTACCGCTCCGCCCATAGAGCTTTGTGAGGGACGTAAATCGCGGGTTGTGCTCTAATAGATCGGGGAACAAGAGCTGCCTATACAATGCGCCTACAATGAATCCAATTTCATGTCTCAGGAATCGAATCTTCACACTGCGGCTGCCAGCAAGGCGTGAGATAACCTTACTCCTGTCCTTCACACCACTAGGTTATACCCCAGGGCAAGAAAAATCAATTTTTGTAATAGATATGTGGGGCTCTTTTCAATTAAATTGTTTTTTTTTCCTTTTCTTTAAAGATGATTTATGTCATGACAATGAACAAAGTCATGATATCTATGCCGGGGATTCATTTAAAAGGCACAGATAAAGTAGAGTTTTATTCAAAAGGACTATGAACTTCTTCTTTTTTTATTTAAATAGTCTTAGGATATAAAAAAAAAAAAAGGAAAATACAGTTTTTAAATTACTAAAATATTCTTGTATGTAGAAAGACATAATAAAACAATTCCCATTTCAATTTCCATTTAGCCCTAATTCAATTTTGGTTTCCTTTCTTCCACACTTTGGTCGAATTTCTCTGCAATTCTTTTTTTATCATATCTTTTTCTTCATGAAACCCCAAAATATATTATTGTCATTCTCCTAAACACTCACTTGGTTGAAGTAAGTAATCAAAGTTTATAATATTCTTGATGGGTATTTGACGAAGAAGAGAAGGTAATGTTAAATTTCAATATTTTGATTACTTTCATTTTCAGTTTTTCTGAATCACATGTTGTGATTCGTGTTTATGGTGCTCATTTGTCAGTAATGACTTTGAATTTTTTTAATCATCAAATTATAGCTTTAATATGGATTGCTTTCCCATTTTCTCATTACCTCTTATTTTTGAAGTGAATATGTTGATAAACACATGTTTGGTTATTCTATTTGTTGTTCTACTATAAAACATACATTTCATTTTTTTCGTCTAGAACGACTTACATATCGTTTCTACAAATCATAACGACATACATCTCATTATCAATAATGTACGAAATTTGATATTTGATAAAATATATATATATATATATATATATAATTTTTATGTTAATTGCAATTATGGCCAGCATGGATATGTTATGGATTCAATTTGTTATCTAGCTAAATATGAGCAGTTAGTTGAAGACACTTGAAAATGAAAATATGAAGTGAATGGCAAGGGGAAAATATCGATCATTCTTGTTTAAAAAATAATTTCTTGTGTAAGCTTGTATAAAGTTAGAGAAATGTTGAAAGGTCAATACAATGTTATACCAAATGAAGATGTCATTTTTTTGTCTATATAATGTCTAGGGCTCCAATTGTAAGAAAACTAGTCATGTTCGCTCTAGCCTCCACTTGTAAATGTCAAACAGCTGGTAGTGAAATTTAAAGTTGTGCTATTGTTATGACTTGTAATTTTATTATTTTGTACTTATTGAAAGCACAAAATGATTTATTAGATTTTGTAGTTATTGTGCTATTCTCCCTTTTATGCTATTAGAACAAAATTAAAGTCTTTTTACGTTGCTGTATTTTTCATACATTACAGCCAAATGACTTTTATATTGTTGTAGTTGACGCATATGTCGTTTGAATACAAAAAAATGCATAGATTTATATAACGACATTGAAATTGTTCCTAGGACACAAAACGATATTGGTAGTTTCAATACGAAAAATGCACTAATTTACATAAGAATGTTGAAATCATTCCTGAGACACAAAATGAAATTGATGTTGCTTCAGTATGAAAATATGCTACTTTATTGAGTTTCACAACAACATTGAAGTCATTATAGATCAATAATAGGACATGGATGTCGTTATATAAAAAACTTACACAATGCACATTATATAGGGAGCCGTCGCGCTCTCGTTCACAGGACCATTTGCTTTCGAGTGGTAATGATATTGATATCATTAGATATCTATGTTGTTGTAGGTATGGAATGATTTCAAACACGTCAAATTTGTGTTAAACCAATATAGATATCGTTATATTATTTCATGGTTTGCTACATAATGATATCATCATCGATTTAATACAATTTTGATGACATTTATATCATTGCAGTTTAAATCATTAATAAAACAACATATAGATCGTTTGAGTTTATAGAAAAAGATATGTATATCGTTTCTGCTAAAAACGACGATTCGACGGTGCACAACCACCCGACATGCATTCGACGTATGTAGGACGGTTGAAATAGGTAATCAAGTGAGTTCGATTTCCCTCGAAAGAAACTATGAAAACATTTCTATTCCTGCTATTGTATACAACATTCGAATTATTCCGACAGAAAGAAGTATATTCGTTCGTTCTTTCTAAACCATTTGAGTGGAATCAACCCACTTGATATTCTCTTTCGTTCGTCCTATTTATATTGAAAGCACGTTGGGTGGTTGTAGATAGTTGAATCGTTATTTTTAATCAAAACGATATAATTAATGTTTTATATGAGAAGCAAACGATATCTATGTCGCTGTAGTCATTATTTGAATTGGAACAATTTCAAACTTGTCAAATTTATACTAATATGATATTGACATTATTATGTTATTTCGTGGTTTGCTAAATAACGATATCATTATCGTTTCAATACAATATTGAGAACATTGATATCGTTTCAGTTTAAATCATAACTAAAACGAGATATATATCGTTTCTGTTAAAAATGACGATTTGACTGTTCATGACCACCAAACATGCATTCGACATATGTGGGACAATCGAAATAGATCATGAAGTGGGTTCGATCTCACCTAAAAAAAATTATGGGAACATTTCTTTTCCACGTTGATATCGTTTTAGCTTAAATAATAACTAAAACTATATACATATCGTTTCAGTTAAAATAAAATGACAATTATATTGTTTCCACTAAAAACAACGATTTGACCGTCCATGACTACCAGACATGCATATGACATTTATAAGATGATCAAAATACGTAATCAAGTGGGTTCGATCTCACTCAAAAAAAATTATGGAAACATTTGTGTTTTCATGATTGTATACCGCCTTCGAACTATTTCAACAGAAAGTATCTTCATTTACTCTTTCCAAGTCATTCAAGTGGTATCAACCTACTTGACGACATCTTTCGATCATCCTACGTATATTGAAGGCATAACAAGTGGTTATGGACGATTGAATCGTTATTTTTAGTCAGAACGATATAATTATCGTTTTTCATAAAAAGAAACGATATCTATATCGTTATATATGTGATTTCAATATGAACGATTTCAAACTCGTCAAATTTGTACTAAAATGATATGAATATCGTTGCTTTATTTATGATTTTGATATATAATAATATCATTATTGTTTCAATACAAGATTGATGACGTTGAAATCGTTTTAACTTAAATCATAACTAAAACTATGTACATATCATTTCAATTAAAATAAAACGATAATTATATCGTTTTTGCTAAAAATAACGATTCGACCATCCAAAACCACTAGAATGCATCTAACATATGTAGGATGCTCAAAATAGGTTATTAAGTGGGTTCGATCTTGCTCAAAAGAAACTATGAGAACATTTTTGTTCTCATGATTGTATATTACCTTCAAACTATTCCAATAGAAAGTATCTTCGTTCGCTCTTTTTAAGTCATTCAAGTGGTATCACCCGCTTGATGACCTCTTTTGATCGTCCTATGTATGTTGAAGGCATGACAGATGGTTATGGACGGCCGAATCATTACTTTTAGCCAGAACGATATAATTATCGTTTTATATGAAAAAAAATGATATATTGTTTTACTTGTGATTTGAATTGAAACGATTTCAAACTCGTCAATTTTGTATTAAAACGATATAAAATGTCATTACTTTATTTGTAATTTTGATACATAACAATATCATTATCGTTTCAGTAAATGTTTGATGACATTGATATCGTTTTAGCTTAAATCATAACTAAAACTACATATATATCGTTTCAGTTAAAATAAAATGATAATTATATCATTTCTACTAGAAATAACGATTTTATCGTCCATGACCACATGTATCTGAATGTGTAAGATGATCAAAATAGATAATCAAGTGGGCTCAATCTCACTCAAGAAAAATGTTCCCATAATTGCATACCACATTCAAACTATTCCGACAGAAATAACTTTGTTTGTCGTTTCTAAGTCATTCAAGTGGTATCAATCCACTTAATGACTTTTTTCGATCGTTCTACGTATGATAAAAGCAGAACAAGTGGTTGTGAATAGTCGAATCTTTATATTTAGCTAAAACGATATAAATATCGTTTTATATGAAAATAAACGATATTATGTCACTATCATTGTGATTTGAATTTGAATGATTTCAAACTAGTTAAATTTGTACTATAACGATTTGGATGTCATCGTCTTATTTTATGGGTTTGATACATAACGATACTATTATCGTTTCAGTACAATTTTGATAATATTGATATCACTTTTGTTTAAATCATAACTAAAACGATATATATATCGTTTTACTTTATATAAAACTATAATCATAAAAA